TATGAATGTGAGTACTGGTGAGATATTTGCAACAGAGGCTTACTGAGGTAGAATGAGATCAGCCTGCCTTCCTTCTCCTGTGTGCTGCTTGGGGAATCCAAGCATGGGTTAACTTTGTCCATTAGCCTAGAGACTGAGTTATGCAAATTGGTGACCACGCCTCCTCTGACTGGTTGGGTCAGTTTTTTAACTCAGTCCAGCCAGACGAGACGTATACCAATTTTCTCCAGACTTCTGAGACAAATTTTGCTGTTACTTGGATTCTTCGAGTGGATGTTTGGGAGAATGGCATAGTGAAGGAGAGGCGACAGTTCACTGTCCGACCAGTCCTTCCACCCCTTTTCCTGTGTGGCAGGTATTTACTGATCTTGCAGCCGCTGCCTTGGGGCTTGGGAGCTGCCGTTTGGAGGCATTCAGATTGGGGCTTGGCGCCAGGTTTTTCACGCCCGTAATTGCCCTTTGGGCTTACCGAAAGGGGCTCGCAACGAGGCTTTCGCCGATGTTGCTGTAGCCGCGCCTGGAGTCCTTCAGCCGCATCGGCTGCCTGAGTTCCCCGCCGTTCGCGGCGCGGTTCATCCGGGATCAGGTCGGTTCGCCCGCCATTCGCGGCGCGGCCTATCTGGCTTCTTGATGGCTGAGTGCGTCGGGAGCGTTTCGCCGCACCGCTAGCATTCTCCACGCTGCTGAGTTTCAGAGCGGTTTGTAATTTACAGGGCAAGTTTGAATTTGGCGCTCGAATTGCGGTCGCCATTTTGGGGCCGTTTCTGACGCATGCGCCCTAGGCAATTGAGATTGGGGCTGTATACTCCTTCGCATCGGGAAGGCTGCTGAGTCATCGCCCCTCCCATTTCCCTCACTTCGAGCCTGTTCGCCGTGGTGAGAGGATCGCGCTGCTGCTTCCTTTGTTGACCACGAGGCCTGCAGTTCTTGCATAGTAAAAGGTGCCTTTTGGTTCTAATCGAGTCTTTTCACTTCTAGGTTACAATGGCCGATCAATCCACCTCAGGAGGTATTGTAGAGCCTTCTACTGATGCCCAGCATTCTGCTCAAACGGGGGTTAGCTCAAGGCCTGGCAGGGCCGCATCTAGAGCAACTAGTCAGAGGCCCAGGGAGACCTCAGGGCCCCCGGATAAGGGTCATAAGAAAAAGGATAAATCAAAGAACGCATCTAAGGCTTCTGGGGAGGGTAGAGTCTCTCCTCCCACGCTAGTGCTTCAGCGGATTTTGCCAGCCCCTATGCCACAGTCAGCAGGTCATCAGGCCTGGTCTCCGGATCACCCCTTGCCTGTTATTTCGGAAGCTGGGGCGGGGGGTTGGGGATCCAACTCCCTCCTGTTGTTGCTGAGGCCCAGGCTGCCTCGGCCTACTTGCTGCCACATGCTGGCCTTCTGCCAAATTTACCCCTACTGCTGCAGGTCTAAGGCCTATGGAAGGCTATGATCAAGGCCTTTCTCCAGATCTTTACCAGATGATTTCTGCAGCTATTTCCCGGGGGGTGGATGCTGAATTGATCCGTAGAACCCAGGTCCCTGTGGTTGCCAGTGCCCCTAGTGGGCCTAGTCTCCAAGCTCCTCAGGTAGATCTCCCCGATCTTCCAGCTGGGCCTTCTTCGCTTCTTCCTTCTACTTACAGCGAGGATTCAGCATTAGTGGAGGAAGGGGAGTTGATCGATAGAGATTTTTCTGATGATGAGGGCTTGATTTTTGATCAGCCTAATTCCTCTAGCTTGTTTAGGCCCACGTTATTCAAGTCCTTATTATATAAAGCTAAGACCACTACCCACATGGGAGAGGTGGCTTCTAAGGATAGTTCTGCAGTAGGCCTGGATACCACTGAGCGCCTTTTCGCTGAGCCGGTCTCACTGCAGGAGGTTATTCCTTCCCCAAAACTTTTTATGGATCTTATTCAAAAACAATGGGACCAACCGACTGCGGTTACCCCGACTA